TTTAATGTGTTTCTAATGAATATACTTTTAGTAGAAACTTTTATAAGCATAAGTATTTTTTTTTAATTAATTTATTTTTTATTTTTTATAAAAATAATCCTTAGAGAAAGAACTTACAAGTGACGGAGTAAAGCCGATGCCAACATGCCTGGCCAATATAATACAATGTAAAATGGAAAGATACTTGCACATAAGACTATATTATTAACAATAAATGCCACGATAGCGTACTAAAAGGTGCATATGCAACTTGTGCGTCCTTCCCACCAAAAGTTCCCGAATTTGTTTCTCCAAGTCTTTTGCTCGATGGGAGCTCATTATTAGTGTGGTCCTCACATTTACTAGCTTTCTCATACTGCTTGGAGTTCTACTTTTCCCTGTGCTTTTTTCTTTTGGGTCATTTTAACAAGGACAAAACTGAGGCTAAATGAACACGTAAGTCTTACTTCAGTCTTCATCAATTAGAAAATCATTCGAGTCATTTAAATACGTAAATCTTAGTTAAGTCTATCAATCACTTTAACGCACCGCTTTAGTAACTTCACTGTCTGTCATCGACATGTATAGTTATTTACTCGTTTCGTATTGAAGTAAGATCAAAAGATCAAATGAACTTAATTTTGTATTTGTACTTACAATTAAGAAAGAATAAGAATAAAACCCATGTTAAACTTTGTTTTTTCCAACATTCTCTGTTTCCTCTTCCTTAATTTGTTCAAGGAAGAATAATTGGTTGATTACACATTGGTAGGGCCTGCAATCACGATGAACTTGACTGTGAGGACAAAGACCTATCGGGATCCGCAGACTAATATGGTCTTCCTATTCCTTGCTCGATACGGTGGGAGCTGTGGTCTACTTTTCAATCAAGATTAGATTCCACGTGATAAGACATATAATGTCTTCGTGCTTCATACGCATTCCTGTAAGTGAAAATTGGTTACTAATTTCACAGCCAAAAGAGAGAGAAAAACAGAGAGTTTCTTATTTGCGGTCTGTATTTTGGTAGGGATGGAGCATTCACATCGAACTCATGGCAGGCTGATTTTGTTTAAACTCTTTCATGGCTTCATTCTTTTATGCATGACCACACGTCTGGGATCTGCAGCACTCTCCAGCACTAGTCTTGGAAATGAAACTGATCGCCTGGCGCTGCTCGACTTCAAGAAACACATCACTCAAGATGCTCTCCGTGTCATGAGTGCATGGAATGATTCCATCCATTTCTGCAGTTGGGCGGGCGTTACATGCAACCATTCCACCAAAAGAGTCTTGATTTTGAACCTGCAAGATCAAAAATTGGCAGGCTCTTTACCTCCTTCTATAGGAAATCTTTCCTATCTTACTGGAATCAACCTAGGAAGCAACAGCTTTCGTGGTGAAATTCCTCAGGAAATTGGTCGTCTGCAAAGCCTGCACGTTCTCAACTTGTCTCACAATTCCTTCAGCGGGAAAATTCCAACCAATTTATCCCAATGTACACAACTAAAGACGCTTGAGTTTCGTTACAATGAACTTATTGGCTCGATTCCAAAACAACTCAGTTCATTGTCGAAATTAAAGCATCTGGTGCTTTATAACAACAGTCTGACTGGAACCATCCCGAGTTGGATAGGAAACTTTTCTTCTCTACGTTGGTTAGATTTTGCCGCAAACAATTTTCAAGGAAGCATACCCAATGCGCTTGGGCGGCTAACAAGATTGCAAGCATTCGGACTTGAAGTAAACAATCTCTCTGGTATAATCCCTGCTTCAATCTATAATATTTCCTCCATATACTTTTTTGGTGTTACTCAAAACCAACTGCATGGGGAGCTACCACCAAATGTCGGCATTACCCTTCCTAATCTCCAAAAACTTGCCTTTGGCGACAACAAATTCACGGGAAATATTCCTGTATCATTGTCAAATGCTTCTAGACTACAACTTATTGACTTTTCTCTAAATGGTCTTACTGGAGCAATCCCAGGTGAAAATCTTGGAACCTTGCGAAGCTTAGTTATTCTAAGCCTTAATTTCAATAGATTGGGAAGTGGGAAAGCTGGCGACCTGAATTTTCTCAAATTCTTGGCTAATTGTACTAGTCTGGAGTTTTTGATTCTTTCTGAAAATCAATTTGGAGGAGAATTGCCTGTATCCATGTCCAACCTTTCAACCACACTAACACATCTTTACCTGGGGACAAATTCGATACATGGAAGCATCCCTTTGGGCATTGGAAATCTTGTAAACTTGGTCTTGATTGGAATGGAGAATAACTATTTCAGTGGTAGTCTCCCTGAAGAAATTGGGAGGCTTCAGAAGTTGAATGTACTATCTTTGGACAACAATAGTTTTTTTGGGCCAATCCCGTCGTCCCTAGGTAACATGACTTCATTGACACAGCTCTTCCTAGACGAGAATAGATTTGCGGGAAATATACCACCAAGTCTAGGAGACTGCCAACATCTACTACTGCTTGGCCTTTCTAGTAACAATCTTACAGGCACCATACCTAAAGAGATTTTTGGGCTTTCATCCCTTTCAATTTCTTTGAGAATGTTTGACAATCATTTGACTGGTTCACTGCCATCTGAAGTTGGTCTTTTGATAAATTTAGTAGAGCTAGATGCATCAGGAAACAATTTATCCGCCGAAATACCCAATAGCCTTGGCAGTTGTATTATGTTGGTGAGCTTGCATTTGGAAGGTAATGAGTTTCAAGGAATAATTCCTCAATCTCTTAAAAGTTTAAGAAGCCTGGAAGAAATTGATCTTTCAAGCAATAACTTATCCGGGCAGATTCCTGAATTTCTAGGCAAGTTTAGATTTCTTAGGCATCTCAACCTTTCATATAATAATTTTGAGGGTAAAATGCCTGAAGAAGGAATCTTTTCAAATGCAACTGGTCTCTCAATTCTTGGAAATCCTAATCTCTGTGGTGGTAGGTCGAAACTACATTTACCTGCATGCCCCAACATAAAGCCTCACTCATCTCAAGGACTGCTTGCTCGAAAAGTAGTCATCTCTGCAGCTTGCGCACTTGCCATCATAATTGGTATGTCATGCTTTATTGGTGCTCGTTCAATGCTTAAGAGGCCAAGGAGTATACCTGTAATCTCACGTTCTTATAAGGATTGGAAAGTTGGTGTCTCTTACTCAGAACTTGTTCAATCAACCGACGGGTTCTCTACGGAAAATTTGATTGGTTCTGGAAGTTTTGGTTCTGTTTACAAAGGACTAGTCCCCGGTGATGGAACTTTAGTTGCAGTTAAGGTATTAAACCTTCAACAACAAGGAGCATCCAAGAGTTTTATGGATGAATGCAAAGCTTTGAGAAGCGTAAGGCACCGTAATCTTCTGAAGATCATAACTGCATGCTCAAGCATTGACAACCAGGGTCAAGATTTCAAAAGTCTAGTTTTTGAGTACATGGTAAATGGAAGCCTAGAAATGTGGTTGCATCCGAGAAATGACGAGCATACTCAGAGTAAGAGATTGAGCCTTGTCCAAAGACTCGATATTGCAATCGATGTTGCTTCTGCATTGGATTATCTCCACCACCGTTGCGAAACTTCAATTGTTCATTGTGATATGAAGCCAAATAATGTTCTTCTTGACGAAGATATGGTAGCTCATGTTGGTGACTTTGGTTTAGCAAGGTTCCTCTTGGAGGCGTCTAATGATCCCGCTCAAAGTCAATCCATATCAACCGGGTTAAAGGGTTCAATAGGCTACATTCCTCCAGGTATGAGTTTCTATCTCTTTCAATGCCTTCTCTTCGTAATAACTTATCACTACGCCAAATTAAGTTCTAATGTATGCATTGAATGGCAGAGTATGGCATGGGAGGCCAAGTTTCCATCCTTGGAGATGTTTATAGTTTTGGAATACTATTGCTAGAAATGTTCACAAGAAGACGACCTACAGATGACATGTTCAAAGATGGTTTGAGCATTCACCAGTTCATTGCCATGGCGATGCCTGACCATGCCATGGACATAGTTGACCCATTGCTGCTTGTCGAATGTGAAGTTGCAGATGTTGATGGAAGCCCAATTCAAGCAAGAAGGTTGGTGGAATGCTCAATTTCAGTGATGCAAATTGGACTCTCATGCTCTGCCACATCACCGTCAGAGCGAATGCTTATGGATGTTGTTGTGAACAAATTAAAGACAATTAGAGATTCATATCTCAATTTAAGAGGTAGAGGCTAGAAATAGAAATGTGAGAGTTCCATTCTCCTAGACCCCGTGGTCCAAGAAAATTATGGTCACTCACCGTTCGATCTTCATCCAACAGTGGAGGATGTAAGATCGAATGGTGGGAGACCACACTTGAACCTTGTGGTCTAGGATAACGGGACCACACTCGTCTTGTCCGTGTGCAATAAATCATTTGAACAAGGATGTTCTATGTATCAAATTTGTGTGAGATTATGTAAGCTTGAACTCAGCATTTTATATAGTAGAATAAGGAAAGAATGTTTAAATCCTGCTTCTTCCCGCACTTGTTTGTTAAGGAAAGAATGTAACTTAATTAATCGGTATCTTTCTAGCTTAATTGGTCTTATTAGTCTCAAATCTCAATCATATTGTTAATGGTTAATTTTCAACGACAGTCTATGACTCCTTTATCTTTGTTCCAGTTCACTGCTGCAATTCTCCCACCATGTCATTTGAATGTCTCACAGGTAACACACAAATCTGTACTGTTATTCGTTTCCATTTGACCCTCAAACAATCGCATTACTAATCCGCATGCTAATATAGGTCGACAAACAAATGTTTTCACCTTCATGAACCGACGATGGTTAATGAAAAACGCAAAGTTTTCCTCCTATTATGGCCTGTGATCCCAAAATTGTGTGATACCGTTAAAGGGTTTCCCTTTTAGATGTTTGAGTCAAAATCTTAAAGTAGCATATCATTTCTAAGATACATTTGTAATAAAGATCTGATTGCAAAATATTCTTCTACACATCGTAACGTTAAGAAATTAAAATCATGTATGCTTGTAAATATTAGCAACAGGACTTGGGATTAAAAGAAAGAATGGAATACCCATTCCTGCATAAGGAATGAACACATTTCTACTCCTGAGTTGAATCCAGTAAATAAAAACACGGCCTCATAAAAAGACATATCGTATACCATGCAAATTCCTAAAGTGCCGCATAACGACATGATACTACATAATCCTATTCTCATTTTATCATGTCTCATAGCAATTCTTCTGACAAAGGGAACCAACAAACCAGGATTACTGGAGAACGCGCATCAAAATTTGACCATTCTGACAGAAGCCTTTGTTCTTCGCAAGGAATGCATTCATTGCCTCGGTTTGAGACGGAAAGCGAACAGTCGCAAATTTAGAGGGTTCTGGGAAAGACCTGAACATAGTTTAAAAAAAATAAAATAAAAATCAAGTAGAGTAAAAGTATTTCAATATATATAAGTATGTTTCACTCGCAAGCCATTCAGCTTACCTGAAAATTATCTGGAGGGAAGACGAATCGTATTCACAACCAGACAAAAACCGTTCTACATCTTCTGGAGCAGCAGTTTGAGGAATTCCTTGCAATAAAACCTGATAATACCAAATGTCCATTTCCAATGCTTTCAGAAAGATTTTCATCATTTCATAGCAAATTAATTGTAAGATAAAGTGTATAGATTACATTCAAATAATTATGGCATATACTTGACATATGGGAAACAATAACTCCAAATTACGAAGACTCAGTCTACATATGAACCGATGGAGCCTGTTTCTCTTCGTGCAATAGAATCAATACATATGGCAACCTCTTGTGATGGTGCATGCAAACATACTAAACCAAAAATTCACTAGGTTGCCACATGGTAGTTCCAGAGATTCCGTTTTCAAGAGGAAGCAACTCTATCCAGTAATATTTAGGTGTTATCCAGATAAAAAACCTACTTCAACTGTTTAGAGTGTCAAACTGCCTATGGCATATATTGCCTTGCACAAGAATTTGAATTCATTAGGTTCATCCTCGAAAGCCAAATATTCATCAAACCTGTCTTACTACTCAGTCCATTCTACATAGCAAGAGAATTTGCTGCACGAAGAGTAACTCCAAACACGACCAACTTTATCAAACATTTCACTGAAAACAATAATAAGCATGCAATAGAAAACCTTGACTTACAGTTTTTCCATCATGGGGAGTAAGATTGTCCCACAGCGATCGGTTAGCCTGTCATTCACAAACCTACCATCAGCACACCACGACACAAAATACGTGCGCAACAATTATATCCTATCAAGCATCCATGACATCATTACCCTCTCCAATTTATACAGGCGGCCCTTCCTGGAAATCACCCTAGCTGCATTATCAAAAGCCTTCCATGACCGGAATTGCACTACCCTAACAACCAAAATGCATACCCAAATCATCAACCAAACATTTTTGGAGCACCTAAACAAATTTATCTATTGCATGGCATAACAAATTATCAATCTACTGGCAAATAAACAAAATAGAGAATACGCAATTTACATTCCCATCGGCGTGAAGGCCCGATTGTAATCAACTTTGACATCCTCCAGGCTCAAATTACAGCCCTCCAGCATATTCACGACATCGGTCTTCAGCGTATACCTCGAGATTCCAAGCAGCTTCCCATACACCAAACCTTAAAAATATCATATGCAACACATTGCCATTGACACATTTCATCATTGAAATTAAATCCCCAAAACCCTGAACCCTAAATTGAAAATGGAAATGAAATCACAGCCATGCCCACGGCAGCCGATAGGTCAGTTTATAATACCTGTGGTTGGGGTTTGGAGAAATGGTTCGATCGGTGAAGCATCCTGTGGCTGATCAGACGGCGGGGAGTTCTGAGGCGGGTTTTCGGCTTCCGTCGAGAACCGTCTCGCCGGTTCGCCGAGGAGCATAGGGAGGCCGCGGTTCTGCCGCACGGCCGTACGTACGGCGAGGTTTGACGTGATTACGGCGCGGAGAAGACCGAGCTTCGACATTTTCGCTCTCTCTTTTGGAGATTCACAGTGGCGCGGCGTCAGTGTCTCTGCTCTACTGAGTACCAAGGGGTGAGGACGGTGATTATCGTTTCGAGAAAGTGGAATTCGAGAAATGCCCCGGAATTGTAGCGAGATTATATATTCTGCCCCTGACCTATTTATAAAGTGCTGTTGCTTTTCTTTCATTAGATTGGGCTTGACGAAAGCCCAGGTTCTCAATGTCTGATGACAATATGATGTTGGGATTTTTTTTGAAGTGAAACGATTATATTGGAGCAAACTCAAAGAGAGTTACATATGTATTGGAGGAGGAGCTTTTAGACAAGAGTAGGAGGCTCCTCAGTCTAAACTAGTTTATTGCTAATTGACAAAACAAATTTAGCTAAACAATGGGCAACCCATTACACAAACGGGGACTAAAATTAAACTTAAACTCAGTAAAACCAGGAGTAAAAATTAGGCCTGGCAAACGGGTCGTGTCTGTCGTGTTCGTGTCGTTTTCGTGTAACACCTGTTATCTTAACGGGTCGTGTCGTGTCACACCCGTTATCTTAACGGGTCCTTAACAGGTCGTGTCACTTTACCCAACAGGTAAAGTGACCCGACCCGTTATGACCCGTTAAGAAAAATATATATTTTTTTACAATTTGCACATACCACACATTGCGACATAAATATTACTTGAAAACATTAAAACATTTCTCGTTCAAGTACTATATTTACACTCGAAAATGAAAGCCTAATAAAAAAAATAATACATACACTACTAATCTATTACAAATATTAAATGTACAAGGATAAAGAGTTTTTGTTTTTAAGATTGTAAGTCTTTCTTAAAAGTTTACACCTTCATTTACAAAATCTTCAATTTACATCGAACATCATGAAATTATATTGGAACTTTGGCTTGATCTATTACACAATGGACGACTGAGATTAAATCTCAGCCGATCCAATGGTTATCAATTTTTTAAATTTAATAAAATATATATATATAATTATGAAATGGACGGCTGAGATGTAATCTCAGCCGATCCAATGGTCATCAATTTTTAAATTTAATTTAATATATATATAATTATTATAGTTTTTACTTTTTAGGGATATAAAATTATTAAATTAATGTATATAATTATTAATATGATAGTTGATTCATACTTTTATTAAGTATATAAATTCCACTAGTATAAATATTTTAAATTGAAGATCGAATTCATTCATTGTATTCATATAGGGTCAAGGAGTGTAGTTATAAAAAATCATCAAAATCGGAGTTAAAATAACCGTTAAATCTTGATTTTTCGTTTATAACCGTCGAAAAGCTTTGTCCCGTTACTTGATCTCTGAATGTTTTTTTTTTGTGATTTTTTGCTGATGTGATCTCCAAGCATATACAAACAATTTTGACGGTTTTGATCGTTGAAATTAGTTTTGAAGAATTCGTAAAATGATAGATTGACTAACACTTAGAGTTTATTTATACTTTTATTAAGTATAACATAAGATTTTGTGGTATCCACTTGTGTAAATATTTTAAATTGAAGATCGAATTCATTCATTATATTCATATAGGGTCAAGGAGTGTAGTTATAAAAAAATCATCAAAATCGGAGTTAAAATAACCGTTAAATCTTGATTTTTCGTTTATAACCGTTGAAAAGCTTTGTCCCGTTACTTGATCTTTGAATTTTTTTTTTTTTTGTGATTTTTTGCTGATGTGATCTCCAAGCATATACAAACAATTTTGACGGTTTGGATCGTTGAAATTAGTTTTGGAGAATTCGTAAAACGATAGATTGACTAACACTTAGAGTTTATTTATACTTTTATTAAGTATAACATAAGATTTTGTGGTATCCACTTGTGTAAATATTTTAAATTGAAGATCGAATTCATTCATTGTATTCATATAGGGTCAAGGAGTGTAGTTATAAAAAATCATCAAAATCGGAGTTAAAAATAACCGTTAAATCTTGATTTTTCGTTTATAACCGTCGAAAAGCTTTGTCCCGTTACTTGATCTTTGAATGTTTTTTTTTGTGATTTTTTGCTGATGTGATCTCCAAGCATATACAAACAATTTTGACGGTTTTGATCGTTGAAATTAGTTTTGGAGAATTCGTAAAATGATAGATTGACTAACACTTAGAGTTTATTTATACTTTTATTAAGTATAACATAAGATTTTGTGGTATCCACTTGTGTAAATATTTTAAATTGAAGATCGAATTCATTCATTGTATTCATATAGGGTCAAGGAGTGTAGTTATAAAAAATCATCAAAATCGGAGTTAAAATAACCGTTAAATCTTGATTTTTCGTTTATAACCGTTGAAAAGCTTTGTCCCGTTACTTGATCTTTGAATGTTTTTTTTTTTGTGATTTTTTGCTGATGTGATCTCCAAGCATATACAAACAATTTTGACGGTTTTGATCGTTGAAATTAGTTTTGGAGAATTCGTAAAATGATAGATTGACTAACACTTAGAGTTTATTTATACTTTTATTAAGTATAACATAAGATTTTGTGGTATCCACTTGTGTAAATATTTTAAATTGAAGATCGAATTCATTCATTGTATTCATATAGGGTCAAGGAGTGTAGTTATAAAAAATCATCAAAATCGGAGTTAAAATAACCGTTAAATCTTGATTTTTCGTTTATAACCGTTGAAAAGCTTTATCCCGTTACTTGATCTTTGAATGTTTTTTTTTTGTGATTTTTTGCTGATGTGATCTCCAAGCATATACAAACAATTTTGACGGTTTGGATCGTTGAAATTAGTTTTGGAGAATTCGTAAAACGATAGATTGACTAACACTTAGAGTTTATTTATACTTTTATTAAGTATAACATAAGATTTTGTGGTATCCACTTGTGTAAATATTTTAAATTGAAGATCGAATTCATTCATTGTATTCATATAGGGTCAAGAAGTGTAGTTATAAAAAATCATCAAAATCGGAGTTAAAATAACCGTTAAATCGTGATTTTTCGTTTATAACCGTTGAAAAGCTTTGTCCCGTTACTTGATTTCTGAATGTTTTTTTTTTGTGATTTTTTGCTGATGTGATCTCCAAGCATATACAAACAATTTTGACGGTTTGGATCGTTGAAATTAGTTTTGGAGAATTCGTATGCCATCAATCAAGTTCCGTGTGTGTGTGTGTGTATATATATATTTATTAAGTAGATTTAAATCTATTTATTTTGTACGTATAAATTATAATTGACTGGTACACGGAATAGTACATACATCACGTGTTCATTATAAAAATAGTGAGATATGTCATGACAGTCATGTGTGTGATAAAAAGTTAATAACTTAAAAAAAAAAAAAATTTCTCACCACTTCTATTAATTTTCATTTTTCCCTCTCTTTTTTGTTTCCTTTTCAACTTTTTCTTATCATTTTCACTTTTCCCTCCAACATCTTTCCCTAATTCCCTCACTTTTTTGTTTTATTTTCAACTTTTCTTAACATTTTCATTTTCCCTCCATTTTTTTTTTCCAAAAAGGATGGCAAGTTGGCAAATTCATGATCATGCATATTAAATTATTAATTAATATGCATTATAATTTTTATAAAATTTAATATATATATATATATATATAATTAGTATAGATAGACTTAATATTTTGGGGGTATAATTATTATAGTATATATAATTATTATAATTATTATAAATTTTATAGTTAATTTAATATATATATATATATATATATATTTATTATAATTTTTAGGGGTATAAAATTGTAAAATTAATGTATATAATTATTACAATATTTTTTTAGGGGTTATAAAATTATAAAAATAATATTCTGCTTATCGTGTATCGTGTTTACCCACGTGTATACCCGACCCGACCCGTTATCTTAACAGGTGCTTATCGTGTTACCCGATAAGACCCGATTCGTTATCGTGTCGACCCAAACACCTGTTAATTTCGTGTCGTGTCGTGTCGGGTTATCGGGTCGTGTCAGAAATTGCCAGGCCTAAGTAAAATGCAGCACATCTTCCGTAGGCATCCCCAAATCCAATGAACCAGCAGTAATATGATGTTGGGAATGACTATAATACTTATATGTATTTAATATAATTATTATTTGACAATCATATATAAAACATGTAAATATATGTATTTAGTACAATCATCATCTAACCGTTAACATAGCTATTATTTCTTAAGGATTCTAATAATATACGTAAATAGTGGCGGAACCGCATGAAAGTCAGGATAAGCCAAGCCCATCCTGGAATATTACCAAGATTACCAATATATACATATTTAGTTTGGTCCCATCCTGGAATATTACCAATATTACCAACATGTGTGTGTGTGTGTGTGTATTTAGTATGGATGGATTCGAAATTTGATGACATTACCCCTTTTTCTTTTTTCTTTTTTTGAAAAAACCCACCTTATACCATTTTACCTTTTAAAAGAATAAAATCCAACCTTATACCTAGCATTCTGTTTTACAATATTAAATTCAATTCCTTTTTTCTAGTCTGTTCATATAAAATAAGGTCTATACGATTTAGAAGAAAATTAAATTATGTTAAAAAAGAAATCTCATAGGAATAGTTTTGATTTTTTTTTTTTCTTAAATTTTTGTTCGAGCCTTAATCATTTTTTATTGTAACTCGTAAATAAGTTATGTTCTTATGAAAGAATCTTCTCAGCATCAAATTTTTCATACAAATGTTAAGGCTCCATCACATTTGTTTGATTAAAATTTTCCTTGCCAATAAAAAAAATGGTTTTCTCCAACTAATTATATTGCTAAAATTTTGTCTAATTTCTTTCATATGACTTAAAGGTCCCTCCTGAAACCAATTTCTGACTCCTTCACTCCATGTAAAACAATTGAACTTAAATACTTTCTCACAACCTGATTAACAAGGAGCCAAACAAACCAAACAAGGAGTTAACTTCAATGTAGTGCGAGTAGTTTGCAAGTTCTGATGGAATCTCTCTTGGAATCCAAACATACCATGTCCAACTGTTGAACACAAGTAGACAGATCAGCCACCTATCCAATCGTTCCTATGAGGTCCACTTCAAAAAAGACAATAAGTCATCCATCCAACAAA